TGTTTTCCCACAGTGACCATTTCCTTTCTTGTGCCTCTGCAAGCAGAAGTCTTTGTCTGGAATGCATTTCCCTTTCTTCACTGTCCATTTATATAAACATCCATGCCTCCTTTAAAATTCTGATCAAACACAATTATGAAGCTATCTCAAGCATCTAATTCTAAACACACACACAAACACACACACAGTGTTTTCTCTGTGGTTATCCAATAATACATCATAGATCAGATTATGGAATTAGAATTGTGTTTACACTCTCTTATTAGATTTTGGGATCTTAGAAGTCAAGGTATGTCATTTATTTATCCTTGTATAGGACCTTCTCCAGCTCTGGCATTTATAAATAATTAATTGATTAAATAGTATGTGCCAATTAGTGTAAACATTATTTTCAAACTCTGAAAGATGATGTCATGTTTTTTCTGTATGATCTTAACTGGGGCAACAGTGACCAAAAGCAGCTACGCTATTTTTAAGTTTAATTTTGGAAATTTTAAATCAGATAGCAATAAATCTAACAATTCCTAACTGAATTAAAGGGGAAAAACAGAAGGAATCTGAAGTAATTTGACAAAAGTAACTCATATTTAAAATAGAGTCTGTTCATTTTTTATGCTTTGATTTTGTAACTTGAACAACTACTTCTAAGATAATATGTAACGTATCAACTAGTGATGATTTCTTAATTTTTATGAAATTCTGTATCATTCCTACCCTTTTTTCTGTTTTGCTTTTTTTAAATTAAAAAATCAGGGCAAAATAAAATAAAATAGATAATAATCTGAATAGAAGCAGAGAGAACTGAGAAAAAGAAGACTTTTCAAATAAAAGATAGATGGGAAGTTAACTGCTTATGACTATTGTGAGAAAATGCATTTGCCGTGGAAATAAACAGAGGGGAAGGAGAAGCATCTCTCTCTCAGCTGCTGTACCAGATGACCAGGACAGAGGCCTTGGCAGGGCAGCCTCAAAAGGACCTAACTCACACACCATCCAGAATGTCCCAAATTATATTCTTGGTTCCTTTCAATTCATTTTAGACCAAGCCAAAGTTTCTATTTGAAAAGAAACAAAAACATACATGATGTTTTATTATTTATTACTTTCTTCCTTATTACTTTTCTGATAACTACAAAAGTTTTACATCTGTTAAGGTCATTACAATGATTTTAGCAAGAATGTGCCTGGATGCTTGAAAGAGAGGAAAGCACAGTTTATGAGTTCCAAAATAGCAATATTTGAAAACATAAAAATTCTTCTAAGCATTCTTAGAATTGAGTTTTGTTTTCCACCTACTGCACTCCCCCCAACATACACGCAATAAAAAAAAATAAAGCTTTGGGTGGAGTTAAGAACTCTTTTCAAATGTTAAACAATAACTGGAAATCCTGAACATGTATTCTCCTTTACCCAGGAGGGAAAACACTCTCAAGTCTTTTTTTTTTTTTTCCTTGTTAGGAATCATTTAAAAAGGGATTTAGTCAATGGCTTCTATTTTAAATTAAAACTTCAGTTTTAACTGTCTGAAATATAATGCCATCTATGTTTATTTTTCCATTCAAAACACAACTCTTTTTCCTCTAAGCATAACAAGTGCGTAGTTCATAAATTCAGTGAATGTACCAATGCAACTAATGATATACTTTAGGCAAAAGGTGAAATTAGAGATCTGGAACATTTGCCATACAGTGCGAATTCGACTACAAATGTAAATCATATAAAGAAGATCTATAAATTTAAAAATTTCTCAGATAGAGAAAAAAATGGCAAATAAATGCATGAAAAAATGTTCATCATCATTGATCATTAGAGAAATGCAAATTAAAAGCACACTGAGATTCCATCTCAGTCCAGAAAGAATGGCCAGGATAAAGAAAATTACAACAACAAATGCTGGAGAGGCTGTGGGGAAAAAGGAACTCTCCTGCACTGCTGGTGGGAGTGCAGACTGGTGCAGCCTCTGTGGGGGTCAGTCTGGAGGTACCTCAAAAATCTGGGATTGGAATTTCCATTTGACTCAGCTATTTCACTTCTGGGCATATTCCCAGAAGAACTGGAAACATCATACCACAGTGATGTATGTGCACCCATGTTTATAGCAGCACAATTTGTAGTAGCCAGATCTTGGAAACAACCTAAATGCTCATCAACTGAGGATTGGATAAAAAAGATGTGGTATTTTTATAAAAAGGAGTACTACTTAGCTATAAAGAATGATCACACTGAGATATTTATAAGCAAGTGGATGTAACTTGAGAGCATATTCGTAAGTGAAATAAATCAAACTCGCATGAGCAAATACCATATTATTTCCCTAGTATAAGAAATGGTAAGAGTACATAAAATACAGAATCCTCACTAAATACAGTGAAGGGGTAAGAATCTTCTCAAAGAACAGTATCTCAGGGAAAAGAAGGAAAAAGAAAAAGAAAGGGAAAAGAAAAATTATCTGAATTTGTAAAAACACACAGGATAGCTAAGATGATTGTGCTACAAATTCTGTAAGTTCATAAAACAAAGCAGTTAATATTCATAAGATTGGAACAATTTTGTATGTTTGCGTCAGGTGATCTGAGGAACTCGTTTAGATCACTATATAAAATATAAATCTTAGTTCTGTTCCTACCATTGTGTTTCGAAGGCTTATATCATTACTGTTTGGGCTCTTTGCTATTGTTGTTTATGTACCTTTTTTGTTTACTTTTCTAATAATCTGTTTTCTTTTGTTTTATTTTTCCCTCTAATACAGAAAGGATAAGTAAGAATTTTAAATTATTTTAGACACTATGCAATAATATATGAATAAAGGATAAGAGGCTTATACATGCGTAGAACTTCTCCTAAACAGTTTATGAGAATTGATTATATTATGTGTGATAAACAGTTACTTTGAAGTAAAAGAGACATTATGGTATCCATGGCTGATTCTGTATCATTTGCTGTGAAATTCAGTAATGCTTCTATTCTTTGCTCAGAGAGATTTTAATCTGTTTTGTATTGTTTGATTTCAATATACGGCATGGAAGCTATTTTGAAGAGAACGAGAGACATTATGGCAGCCATTGTTAATTTTCATATTGTATGGTTCTGAAGGCCTGTAATGTCTTAATCATTCTGTTTTGATCAGTTTTTTACTATTTTGTTTTGTATGAATTTGTTGTTTGAGAAGATATAAACAACCATTTAGAAGAAAACGAGAGACATCATAGTAGCCACTGCAGAGCTCCTGTTGTCTTGCTTTGAAATCTGTCATTTACATTGTGTTCTTCTGAGATACTTTGTTCTGTTATGCTTAGTTTTACCCTTTTTTAAAATAAGAAACTTTGAATATTATGATTAATATATAATTATGTACTCTGTGCACATTTGCCAGGGTGCAGGCAGAAAACAGTAGAAACAGGGACACAGCGCACACCACAGTGTAGTGGACAGGGAAGCAGGTTAGGAGTCACAGGATCAAAGAATCTCACAGTCACTCTGATCCTAGGCTCTCAAGTCTGCACTGCTTACGGATTCTACTCATACATCTACTGCAGCAGCACCTCCAGTGAAGAGAGATCAAACAAAAATAAATTTCTAATATGTTAATAAGGAATTTTAAATTATTTTAGACACTATGCAATAATATATGAATAAACATCATTATATATTTACATGTGAACTGATAAATTCGTATAATAATTCTGACAGTTTTCAAACTGAATTCTTAACTGAATTAACTATCAAAAGGGGACTTAAGTTTTTTCTATCAAATGTCACATGAGCAGAAATTGAATGCTGACTTAAGGGTTTATTTATTCTTCAACAAAAGCTTAAATCATACATAAGTTTTTAATTTTAGCTCGATATTTCCTGTAGATATTCTTGAGGAACCATAACAGTCTTCAAGCGTCTCTCCAAGTCTGACATTTTAAAAAAGTGTATTCAGATAGACAAGATCTCTAATACCAGTACTAACGGTGACTGAAGAAAGGTTTCCCTGTTGCCAGGCTTCCTATTCTTGGGAAATCAAGGATGCCCTGCCAGCCTTCTGAACAGATACATTCTTGAAATAGCTGGGTATGTCTGACTCAGCACTCACTGTTTCCTGTTTTCACAGGGCAGCAGCTAAGCACACCTATTTGGGAACAGAACAACTCCCAAAGCATCCTAAAATGAGCTTGAGAAAAACAAAGAGAAGACAGGAGCTGGATCGTGGCTGCTGTTTGAGCTATAGGCAATTTTGATTCAAGAGACTAATTCACTACCTTTAATTTCATAATTGTGTATGCAGAGAATATAGCACTTGCACACTTCTCAGAAACTCAACCCAAAAAGCACCCCCTACCTCGCCATTTCCCCTTGCTCAGAAGCAGCTCCAAAAAATTCTTAATTTGTTTTGGGGAGATGCTTTTATGGATTCTGTGTGTGCATTTCTGTCTTACGTGTTGGATGGTTTGATCATTTATTACTTTAGTCATGTCTACCTCCTTATCAAGATTTAAACTTGTTTCTTGAAACAGCTTTATTTGTATTACATAGAGAAATCATAGTTTTTAGATTCAGCTGCTTTAATTCATAATTGCTCTCATTCTTTGACATTTGGATGCATCAGATAAAGTAATAGCAAAACAAACAAACAAACAAACAAACAAAAAAAAAAAAACAAACCTGGCTACAATTTAATCACAAATGCTAACTTAGAAATCCTTCACCACATTAGACAAAAAACATACCATTGACAACACTAAAAAATTATCAATAATATAATGACCACTTAACACATTACTATAATACACAGAACGAACCAAAAAAATACACTTTGAACTCTCTTTAAATAAAGTTAATTTATATTAATTTGCATATTTATACCATTACTAGATAATGATGAGTTTTTAATATGCTCATTAAAAATATTATGTCAATAATCAGTCTTAAACTCTCTTGCTCATACCTTTAACTTAGAAGCCCTTGAAACTAACTGGACACCCTTAAGGTAGTCAACTGTAGCAAATACTCACGAGAGAATATTCCCAATGTAGGCGTAGTACGAACAACAGTAGGGCGTGGTTCCATCACAGCAGTATGATCTGCACTCTTTGCCGCACTGAGCAAGACAGTCATCTATATAATGAAAACCATTCAGGAGCCATTATGGGTATGAGATCACGGCATCAGGAGAAATAACTCTGTTTCATATCTTTATCAATTCATTACCACTCTTCAGCACATTTGGATCTTCATTTTCATATTCAAAATTCTAAAACATTTGCTAGGTTTCAAATTCCCCTTTCATCCCAGTTAGACGAAGCTGCGAAAAGCAGAGACCATTCTCCCGGAATCTCCCACACCAAGTGCTGTACTTAGAAGTCGACATTAGTCAAATGAGATAGCGAAAGGAGAAATGAATGAATGAGTCAATAATCATTCATTCAATGGATCAATAGATTTCTTAGAGTAGTTTTTAATTGATGTTTTCTGACTTCAGAGTGTCGTAGTCTCAATGAAAAGTGTTACTGATATGCCTAATACCAAATGTGTCAAATTAAAACTAATGTACATCTTCCATAACAGAATATTTTATACTTTTCTTTCTATGTCATTTTACTCCAATAATTACAGTTTATTTGCATGTGGTAACAGAAACTAGTCTGATTCTGTCAACTCATTAGGCTTAGGTAATGATGAGTTAGTTATAAGAAGAGGTTCACATAGATAATTGTAATGAACGGTTCGTTAACAGCCATACCAAAGAATCAATATGCTATAATAAGCACAATGTGAAGGAGGAGAAGGCACTGTCCATGACATATTAGAGGCAAGAAAATCAAATTACTACATTTCTACATGTTTTCATTTTTTATTATTAAGTTTACTGGTGCAATTTAGATGTACATAATGATAATATTAATCATAGGGAATTTGTACCTGTATATGATATCTTTTGATTCTTCTTTTTAAAAATAAGGAATATTATATCAAAAATTTTGGATAAAGATTATCCTGACCTTTTAAAATTTTGTTTTCCAGATACATGATTATATTTTAAGTTAATATTGGGTTGTAATCAGTACTATAAATCATGACAAATATGTGAGCTTAAAGTACTATGTGACCAGGAAAACATAAATTACAGACAGTAGTTTAAGTTGTATGCTCAAGGATCACAAAATAAGTCATTTCCAACTTATGCTCCTTAGGTAATATGGACCATTAGATGAATTATATAAAGTTTTTGGTTTCCTATCAAAAATATAATATTAAGGTATAAGATAGTTTATTTATATATATCTGACCGTGTATTGGTTTATCAAGAAAATAAATATTTTATCATTTTTAACTCACCTCTTTGCTGAGACAGTTCTTTCGAAAAAGATGTGATCAAAAGGTAGCGAATTTCATTTGCCTTTATCATGGCTTTAGTGGAATGAGTGCATAAGTTCAACTTCAGCATTTTATTTCTTTAAATTTTATTTTTACATTATATATAAAAGTAAGGGTAAGTCTTGATGTTATCTTTTGGATTGTGGTAAGAGGAGACAGAGGGAAAAATAATTATCCCTGTAAGCTTTAGCAACTACCTAAACTTATAAAATGTGAAAAAAATAAAATATTCGAATCATTTAGATCCTAGGGAGAGGCTTAGGTACCAAAAACAAGTGCTTTCTGTAAACAGTGTCATACTTACAGGCTAATTTGTGCTTTTTTTCTGCTACTGTCATTTTTATACTGCTCAACTTACTTAAATATTTAGACTGGTCGGTTTTTCCCTGGACTTAGCAGGGATGTGTGACTTCTTATTCATTAAAAACCACTGGGATCTGGAGACAGTTTCTGTCATTATTCACAGGGCAACTAATGTTTAATAAATTCACAGGTGCCTTTTCAGTGCTGCTCAGGACAGTGAATTCCTACTAATATTACTTTCCAGTTACTACTGCCCTTAGGACCTGCTGTTACCCAAATATTTTGAGCCAACCTTATAGGAAACCAAGCCTAAAATCTTGTAGCCAAGAAGGTGGATTTTCCTATAGTAAACACTTAGATCATGTCACGCAATGTTCCTTATTTCTATGGCATTTTCGAGAACACTTGTCTACTTCCCAGCATTGAACTACTAAAAAGGGCAAATTTAATTGTACGGCAAATGAATTTCCATTCACAATTTTTCCAGTTGCAACTTTCAATCATATCTCAAAGTTTTTCTTGCTATGTCACTTTTTCCAGCTTTTTGAGAATAATTTTGTGAGGATCAGAGTTTGGGCTATATGAGGACACTTTCACACATTTATGAAAACCTGGGACATTCCAACTGTCCTTGGTAGATAAGTAGTATTACTTCTCATAAACAAGTTAATATCCCTGAAAATTAGGTAGTTCAAACTTTCTTCAACAGCTTTTCAATTAAAAGCAGGATGTGGAAGAAGGTTTCCCCCTCATCTCCCACACCCTACCTCCAGGAATGTGCGGTACAGGAAGAGCAGATCAGATTTGAAGCCGTTGTTCAGAAAGTGCTCTGCAAGCTACACCTCAGCATTGAGCGGAAGGAAAGGGACGGGGCGGAAGGTACTGGCTGAGGCCCCTAAGGTAAAACTTTGACCAAATGCTGTCTTGGTAGCCTGTGCTGGGAGCTGCACAATAATAGAAACATTTCATTATTTCTTTTTCTAAAAGTGACTGCACTGTAAAACATGTTATCTAGCGTATAGAAACCTTGTTCTTGTCTGCCTAATCAAATGGAAAATGAATATAATAATTTGCTTTGTGGAAAATAATTCAGGATATGGATACTGCGGAAACTGACAAATCATCTCAACTATTTTTATTTCTGATCACAACTCACACTTCTAATAACGTGTCACAGTTCTAACTCAACTGAATTATCCATCATTGCATGTGCATATTGCATATCATGGTGTGTGGCTTTGTTCATACTGTAACTTAGCATACCCTACTCTACCTCTGTTTGTCCAGGACTTTCTTATTTAAGTAAAGATCTTGTTCCTCCAAGTTGTCCTCAATTCAACATTCCTAAACAAATATCTGTTTGAGGTCTTCCAAGGGCATGAGTTTTGCTAGTCTCTGAGGCTGTTTTGCTGAAAAAACAGGTTGTGTTCTGAAGGCAAATACTCATAAACTAGCAGTAAGACCCCCACCCTTTGAATACCAATGAGCATGACTGTGTCTCTCCTAGATACATTACAGCAATTCATGGGCATCCCTTCTCTCCCAGGAGAAAACTCAGAGCATGACCTCTGTTCACTTCTCTGATAAGCTTTTAAAAAGCCTCTAAAATCAGAAATCCAGGAGTAAACATCAAAGAAGTTAACTAAACATTTCTGATGAAAGGCAGTGAGGCAACCCAGTATAGGTTTGTAGTTACGTTGTAGTGCAATTACTTTGTAGTTTGCTAGGTAAGGAGAAAAGGGAGTGGAATCCATAGGAACCAGCCTGGCTGCTGGACCAGCTGGACTGGCTTCCTGAATGAGCAACTGGCACTGAGAGAGCTGGAGGAAGGGGAGGACAGGAGAAGTAGGAAGAAATGTCCGTTCTTCTAAAGGAATGAAGCTGATGCCAGAACAAGAACATCTTGCTGTGGTTCAGTAAGGGCAAGAGAGGGTACTTAAACCAAGTCTCATTTGCTTTGGCTCCCTCCATCCCTCCCTCCTTTCTCTTTCCTTCCTTCCTTCCTTACTCTGATAAGAACAGGATGTGGAAAAGATGAGCACTGCTTTAAATAAACTAAGAAAAAGATTGTTATGTTAAAATTATGCTAATGCACTTGATCCTTTGTCCTTCAAATCTGGAAAACTTTACATGACATAAAAGAAATTTTGCAAACAGATTCAAAAGGTGAATTTTTCGCATGGTGAATTTTTCTTATGACATTGGAGCAATTTTTACTTCCCTACAATAAAATGTGCTTCAGACAATAGCTCTAAACACTTAACTACTTTATTCTTTAGTAAACAGATGGACAATTTCTATGAAGCGATGTGAGGTTAGAAGACAGATTCGGTTCTCTAGATGCTTATGTGAAAATGTCAGAGAAGGCCTTCATTCCAGTGTGCAGTACCTGTCAAAACATAAACTGCGGTTCTATTCATATAGGTAGCATTGCAGGCTCATGGGAAGACTGATTTTTGCCACAGGAAGTTAAGAGACATGGAAATAGTTTTATTAAAAAGTTTAGCTATTAGCTTTGTTCTGTAATGCAAACATATGCAAGGACCATGAGCATGATTAACTTGATAGCTGGATACCCAATGAAAGGTGAAACAAATCTCATTTTGCTTTATTAATTATTAGCAATTTAATAATTAGAAGGGAAGAAATGGGATACCCTCAAAAAAGTGTTTAACTACATCAAGAGAAAGAGATTAGACTCCAAGTGAATTTATTCTCGAAAACTTTGTATTTTATTTATCTATGACACCTGTAAATCTTCTAAAGAACAAAAGCAAATTCTAACCTTTTATTTCTAAAAGAGAAAAATACCAATATATTCAGAAAGCGGGTGGTGGCGAGGGCCGTGGGTAGCCTATAATGAGGCAAAGGCACCCAACGAGTTTATTTTACAGCTCCAGTAATAGCTCTAAGCTTCAGGTGCTTTTAAAAAGTGGTCTCCGCCTTTGCCCCCAGATTCCCGAGTCCTGGGTGAGCTTTGCACTACCCAGACAATGCAGTACCCTAACGGTGAGATTACAGCTTGCAAAGGGAAGGTGTGTGTGTGTGTGTGTGTGTGTGTGTGTGTGTGCAAAATAAATAAATAAATAAATAAATAAATAAATAAAAAGAAAAGTTAAAAGAAAGACAACAAAATCCTGTGAAGGTCGCGATGTGGGTCCAAGCGCGCTGGTGTCTGTCTGCAGTTGCCTGCGCGGACCACACAATCTCTGCCCGACAACAAAAGTCTCAAACCTTCCCGGTCCCCACGCTTGGGGTGGCGGGGAGCGGGACCCAAACACCGCCCCAAGCCCCGACCCTCCCGCCGCCCTCCGGCACTCACCTGCGTAGACCACCAGTAGGACCAACTTCGGAAGCAAGACCCCTGGACACCGGGGCAGCCTGGGCGCGTCCATCCACACCAGCAGCTCTGGGTCACAAGCCAGGGCAGACGGACGGACAGACAGACAGACCGGACAGCAGCCGGGAGATCCCGGAACGGGATGCGATGGGGGGGGGGGGGTGTGCAGGCGGTCAGCGGCGGAGACGGGCGCGGGGTGGGGCGGAGGCTGGCCGAGGCCGGGCGGGCGGCGGCGCGCGGGGCGGGAGGGGCGCGCGGGTCTCTTTGTTTCGCTCGCGGCGCCGGGCGCGGGGCTGCAGGAGGCGGCTGCTCCAGGTCCTCGGCCCCGGGCTCACATTTCACCCCGCGGGTGGCAGCCACGCCGGGAGGGACGGGGGTGGCCCGACGCCTCCCCACCTAGCGCGCCGCGCTTCCTTCTTGGGGAACTTTTGCTAAGCGCTGGTGCTGGTGGGGAGTTCCCGGCTCCTCCACACCCGTCCCTGGGTAGCTTTTCAAAAGCTTTCCAAGCAATGGATGAAGCGCGTTCTCCGTTTATCTTTAAAGAAACGAACTCTTAGGTGTTGTAAGTAACTGGACCAAGAAAGACAGTGAAGAAAACCCAGGAGAGTTGGAAAGCATTCAGACTGAATGGTGTCTCTGCTGCAAACTGACACAATGTTAGTTAGCTCTGAAACATTTCCAATAAAGCCAAGGAAAGACAGAACGGTGTGCACCACCGTCTCGGCTATGCAGTTACTAGCCTATGCAATTAGGTAAGAGAAGGAAAAAGATTTATAAAATTGTAAGCAAAATTATTATTAGCAAAAATGATGCTGTGTATGTGGAATATCAGAGATCAGCTCTAAAAATCTTGTCTAATATATTAATAGGCTTCTTTCCGGCAAAGATAAATCAGTTAGGAAAAGGAAAAAACAAAAACAAAAACAAAAAACTGTACTATACAGAGTGGGAAAGGAATAAAATGCAGCATGTCGAAGATAATGAGATTCTCTAAATTAGTCTATAAATTTGAGAATGTATGTGATGCGAATAAAAATACCAACATGAATTTTTTTAGAACAGTTTGCATTTAAAGTTTTTATGAAAAGTAAATACATATCTACTTTTAAATAAGAGCAACAAGGGTTTTAAATTCAATGCACAATACATATAACAACTTAAACATTAAAGCAATTTGAATCAACACTGGAATAAATAAGCTCAGTGGAAGAGAATAAAGAACCCAAAAGTAGACATAACTTTGCACAGCAAATAGCTCACAATAGGGCTGGGGATTGTAGCTCAGTGGCATGGTGCCTGCTTGGCAAGCGTGAGTCGTGAGTTTAAGTATGGTAAAACATTATTTAATAACAAGGAAATGATGACTCTTGGTAGGCATCTTTGGAAATATCTTCTTCCTCAAGAAGAACTTAAGATGCAAATATGAAAATATTTGCTAAAAATCACGGATAATATTGAAATAATTACGGAATAAGAAAAGATTTTCTAAGGATTAAAAATATATGAGAAACCACAAAAGAAAAATTGACCAATTTGATTAAATTAGGTTAAAACTTTCTGTATATAATATATTAGACATTTAATGGCAAAAATACTTCCAATGCATATGACAAACAGGGCTAACTGGCTACTACTTAAGGATCTTAACAATCAGTTGGAAAAAAAGAAACAACTAATATAAAAAAGAAAAATGATTTCATTAAAAAAAAGCATTTCATTAAAATTGTATACTGTATATGTACAAAAAGGTAGATACAACTGAAAAAGTCAGGGGACTTTATTTTTAATATTACATTAAAATGTATGCATTTAAATCTATATTTTTAGGATGCTGATTATTAAGCCAAGGATAACACATAAATAGATAAAAAAAAATGGCGTTAAAACTTTGAAAATAGTTTTCTTTGGATGATAGAATTCTGATAGTTATTTTGTAGTTTTCTTGAATTGGACTCATACAATTTTTATAATAAAAAATAAGTGCCACTTTTTAACATTATTCCATTGTTAAACTCAAGTCTGTAGAGATATTTAGATGTAGGAAAGTGCTCTTGCACTCTAAGAAGGAGCAAAACTACATCTACTTTCTCATCCTAATTGAGTGAGTACATGTAACCTTTATTATTTTTTAAATACTTATAATAAACATATTGTTTCATAATAATAAATGGACCTAAAAGTAAGAGCTTTGAGTCTGAGTCTTTCAATTAGAATAGATGTTTCCTATGTGACAGCTTTTAAACACATTTAAAGATGGAATGATTTCATCTCTGGAGATATTTTAATTTCAACCACAGTTTTCAGATTTTAAGATTCATATTCACCAGTGATCAGTTATTAGCATATTGTGTGTTATCCAATGCTGCATTTGCATTGTATGTGTGCCTCTTTGATGATAATGCTCTTTTGAGTTCTTTTGACTCAATGGAAGAGAATAATTTGTAATTATTTATTTATTTCAAATAATTTATTTCACTATACAGTCAAACAGTTCAGTGTCACTTTTTGCCATTAACTACACAGTGATAAATCCAAAGAAAATATTGTGTGTGTGTGTGTGTGTGTATACTCCCTTTGTACTTATTTTTCATTTTTATTATATGTTATGACTGCCAAGAAAAGAAAGTACTCACAGAAACACTACACTAATATAAATTCAGAATAATGCAAAAATAAACAGGGAGAAGAAAAGAAAAAGAGAATGACTAAAGTGTAGCAGTCGGAGTGTAGACCAAACATTGAATGTTCAGTGTGCACCAAATTCATTATATTTATCATTTAAGCAATAATAAGTTAACACTCTTAAATTCCCAATAAGATGGATATGGTTATTACTGATATAGGGGAATGAAACTCCTGACCTACTAGATGTGCAATACGAGTTCATATTCTCTAAAATCAAAGGATGAACAATGGGTGGTCCATGACTCTGACTTTGCTAGAGACTTTTATAGAGTAAAACCATGAAGTGAGGAGTGTCTAAGGTGGGGAAAAATGGAAACTCACAAGGTGGGCATGAAGTGGGACATAGCTATGGTCAATCAATAAAATTATGAGTATAATTGCTCAGGTAATTGTTTAAATTTGTGACAAATGGGGAAGCCAGTCACATAGCAAGTGAGCATGAATACAGAACAGGGCCTTTGGCTGTAGGGGGTTGGGTTAGTGACCTATTTAGAATATCAATCCTTAGGATGTGGGTGTATTTGTTTGATCTTTTGTCTTGAGATCTAGCCCACAGTGGTGGAAGTGTCTGTCTTCCCCAGTTGCCTGGTATCTGGCCTTTCTTTAAGAATCTAGCGCTGTCTGACTGCCTGTAATATTCCTAACTCAGCTGCCTGTAACGATACCATCTCTGCTGTATTTAAGTACTTGCATTTAAGTACTTTTAAGAGAAAGCCTTGCATTTAAGTACTTTTAAGAGAAAGAGGCAAGATTTAAAATTTTTAAATTGACGCTTAATAATTATAAACATGAAGGGGGTACACTGAAGTTTTGACACATGTATATGTTTAATGATCACCTTCCCTACTCTCCCTAGCTGTTGTTAACTATTTTATACTTCTATAAGAGCAATTATTTTAGATTCCACATATAAGGGTGCTCATACGGTGTTTGTCTTTGTGTGATTAAGTTATCTACTGTAACATAATGTGCTCTGTGTTCATCCTTGTTGCTGCAAAGGACAGGACTTAAGCCTTTAGTATGGCTAAATAAGAGCCATGCTGATAACACTTCCCTGGATGCATCAGATCGCATTCTCTTGAGATAGTTATCTATGATGGCTGGTTAGCTTGACTCCGTGTCTTGCCCACCGTGAGTAGTGTTGTGACCAACATGGGAATGCAGACATCAGGAGGAATTAAGCGAGACTCCAGAGCTCTGTTTCTAGGCCTCAGTGCCTATTTTAGTAGAACTATGTTCCACTGCTCCTTGCCTTTGGCTTTTTAACATGGTTGGATGATAAATGATAACATGGTTGGATGATCAAAGTCACCCTCCAACTGTGTTTATGTTTCATAAAGATTTCTAATGAACACCTCATAAATAAAAGTGGTCTTTGAGTTTGTTGGTTTTTTTCTTCCTCCTTTAATATGGCTCTGTTGTCTCATTCCATATTTGTACCTCAGACAACATCTACTTATTTATTTCTATAATATATCTAAAGTACTTTCACAATTACCTTGTTAATTCAAAGTTAGAGCACAGGAAATAAAAACAAAAACAAAAAACATTGAAAAGAATTTAGGGGGAGCTTTCATCGTGTTCCCTACTCCGCCACTCCCCTGAGTAAGGGCACACAGTCTATTGCTACATGAACCATTCCCTGCCTTAGTATTTTCCTCTCCCCCAACTTGCCTTCAGTTGAAATGCAATTTACTTCACTGGTTCATTTTTCTTTCAGTTTTGCTTCTTTTAAGACAGTTGCCGTGGTTTTGCTTTTCTTCTCATCTTTTATGATTTTTTTTTTTTTTTGAATATGCAGAAAGCTTCTGAAACTCAAAAGCCCACAGAAAAGTATGAGAGAAGAGTCAGGTCTGCGCTTGTGCTGCACCAGCCTCTCGCCCCTTAAACATACCCAGCTTCATTATTTTCTAGTTTATCTCTCATGTGTTTATGTTTCATAAAGATATGCTGATTTTGAGTAGTTTTTCCTTTGGAGTGATAGACGCAAAACATTTCTGCAGCCATCGCACACATATGACAGGCTTTCGGAATTTGGAACAGCGAGGAAGAACTTCTTGTTGGCCGACTAAAATTGCACTAGTATAAACTTCACCCTTAGACTTTCTCACACAAAAAGCAGCTTGTCATTCATACTCTTTTGCATTCTTTAACTGAGCAATACATCTTGGGAAAACTTCCCAAATCAGTTCAGTGATTGTTTTTATTCATTTTTAAAATTTCTCCACAGTGTTACATTTAATAAGTATTATTGCTTTGTCAGGTTTTGTCCTGAGACGCTGTGCAGTATTTACAGTTACAAATAACGCCAGAACACATAATTTTGAAAATGTGTATATTTTGTGATACATTTGTAAAACTAGGGTTGCAGGGTTGAGTGGTATAAATTTTGTTGCATATTATCAAATTTCTCTGGGAAGACTGTCATTTTGCATTCCCACCAGTGATGTGTCCCTACAGCATTGACTATATAACATATTGCCAAAT